CAGATATCCCTATCAGCAACATTCGGAAGGTAAGATTTTATTCCTAAGAATTCTTTGCAGTATAGAATTTTCCAAATTAATTTATTTTGATTGCTTCTGTTGTATACCCTCAGGTCATTGCTCAGCGGTTGATGCAGTCTAAACAAACAATACCTCACTATTACCTTTCTATTGATATAAATATGGGAGAAGTACTGGTGCTAAGGAAAGAACTCAATGAGGTAAAGCCTTTAGGCATGGTGAGAGTGTGTGCGTGGGGAAAGCTGCATTCTTTCACAGGTTTACCCACCTGGCTTTTTGGTGATATGCCATTTTGTCTTGGAAAAAATAGTCTTTTCAGTGCCTTTTCTACCTGTTGTGCCTTAGTTCTGGACTGTCTGTGATAGAATGAGACTTTTTACCCAGGCACTGTGCACTGATTTCTGTCTTCCCCAACAGGGCCACTTTACTCTGCTTGGTGTTGTTCAATTCTTCCAGCTGGGAAGTTGGACAAAATGGTACAAAGGTTCTAAGAATAAAAAGGGTAGAAAATTTAAGCGAAAGAATAATTCTATGTCAAGTTTGGGGAAAAAAATCAGACATTAAAAAAGGTTGTACCTTTTTAAATTATAAGAGGTACCTCCTAAACTATCTTGGCACTTCAAATATTAATGTTTACAAGTAGTGAGTTTGTTTTCTAAGTTTCTTTAAACAAGCCTGCATGGCAGTGACTATCCACGTTAACTGATGTAATGTGTAAGAGGCAAACTGACACTTCCGTATCTCTTTATTTACAGATGGTCTCAGGTAACACTAAGCTTTCTGTCAATGACTTCATAATTAAAGCTTCTGCTCTGGCTTGCTTGAAGGTGCCTGAGGCAAATTCTTCATGGATGGACACAGTTATCAGGCAGTAAGTTAATGGTACAGTCAAAGCCAGAAATTTTGTTCGGTAGGCTCATGGCAAACCAGCTAGGATTTAGAGGCAGGGGAACAGATATAATGCAAAGGTTGAGAGGCTTTTGTTGAAGTGCTAAGAACTTTGCATCCAAGGCCAGTGTGCAAGATAAAATAATTGTTGCAAAATTAATATTAATTTAGAGTTGTCCAAACAGTTCTGAAAATTACTGTCCTTGTTACCATGCTAGAGTAACTAGCATCTCCTTTTGTGTCTTGCAGAAATCATGTGGTGGATGTTAGCGTTGCAGTTAATACTCCTGCAGGGCTTATAACCCCTATTGTGTTTAATGCACATATAAAGGGCCTGGCTTCCATTAGTAAGGATGTGGTTTCTTTGGCAGCTAAAGCGCGAGAAGGTAAACTTCAACCTCATGAATTCCAGGTGAGAAACTCAAATTGCTGTTAAACATTACTGCCCTTGACTTCTGTTCAGAAGTCCTGTTTAGAATGAGCAGAACCTATTCTCTGATGTTTTAGCCATGTTTGTTAATATTCCACATGAAATAGCTTTTTTGAGTTTGACTACGAATGTGTTTTTCTTGTAGGGTGGTACATTCACAATTTCCAATTTAGGAATGTATGGGATTAAGAATTTCTCTGCTATAATCAATCCACCTCAAGCCTGCATCCTTGCCGTTGGCTCCTCAGAGAAAAGGCTAGTGCCAGCTGATAATGAGAAAGGGTAGGTGTGCATCTGATTCTGCATATAGTGAGCTTCTGATTTCAAAAAGTTGATATACTGCTTTCATGACCTTCTGAAGTACAGTGAGATCTTCTATAAAGGGGTCACACAAGTTGAAGAGAAATGCAGTGACTGATGAATGACCTGCCAAACGTTTTTTTTTTTTGCAACTTCTTTCAAGTTAAGGAGAAGCTGTTTCTTTCTTTGAGGCCTAGTCTGGCATCCACAATAGTTGAGGCACCTGTTCCTCTTTTAACAACTTGTTAAAATTTGCATTTAAGGAAAACCCTTCTAAGGGAGGGATTATAATCCAAGTATTTTGTATATAACATTGCCTTGGTTGAAGATTGAATTTGTGTAGATCCAGGAGAATGTTTTGGATTATTTAAACGTGTTAACAGTCTGTCACTGACACATGGGGAAGCTCAAGGTTATTTGGTAAAATGGCTGTTTGTCTTCGATTGTGTGAGGCTGTTCTTGTGATTCAAGGATATATGAGCTTCCTGTCCTAAAGGGAACATACAAATGTGTTTCTTAATTGTAGGAAAGGAATTAATACAATTCTGCTGTATGATTGTAATCTTTTTCAGAAGTCCAAAGAGAGAAACGTCTGCTGCCAAGCACCAACTGCTGCTGGTTCCCTGATAAAAGCTATTTTTGCCTTGTTACTGGCATTGACTTCCAGATGATTGTATTAACCTTTCCTTTCTTCCGTCTTTCAGATTTGATGTGGCCAGTATGATGTCCGTTACACTTAGCTGTGACCATCGTGTTGTAGACGGAGCAGTTGGAGCACAGTGGCTTGCTGAATTCAAGAATTTCCTTGAAAAGCCAGTAACCATGCTGCTATAATTTAACCATGCAAGCAAAGTTTTTCTGGATCACACTGTTTTATTTTAAACAAGCTATTTAGACGTGAGTGTTAAGACTTATTAAAAGAGTTCCTTTTTTATTTTAAATATGTATTATATTATCTGGTAATGTTATTACCAGTCTGTACAGAAAAAGTTTGCAAAAGTGCTTTTCAGAGCAATATTACAGCTATACTGTATTTTTATACAGTTAACTTGCAAACTCTTCCAAAACAGAGTTAAGCATCCCAGATTTAAAAGTTATCCAGGCAGTATGCATACTGCCATCTGCATCTAAACTAGGGTGAACGGGGAGGTGGGGACTGCACACCAAGCAATTTCATCACCTCTGTTGTTATTGAGTTATAAACATCTCTTCACAGGAGTTCAGGTGAGATGGTAACTGAAACGTACAAGTTAGTAAAAGGTGGATTCCCTTACTGTCCTGTTCTGCTGGGATGGGTAGTATGACATGCACTAAGGGACTGAAGCGCCTGGGAATAGTTTCTCAAAGGCCAAGTGCTAGCATTCCAAATCTCTCTTTGGAATCTGGCACTGGTCTGGACCTTCTCAGCTATGTGATCCCTTTTGAGCACTTTAAGGTGAAAGAGCACTGATATCTGTGGGGTCACAGCTCTCAGATACCACAGGGAGTGCTTATCTCCTTGCGGACTTATACTTACATGTGCTTTCTGTATGAAAACTCTAATTGCTTTTCCTCTTGTTAATATCAGACTAGGACACCATGGAAAGTAACCATTTTGCAGAATGTTTAAGAGAAACTGTGTGCTGGAACCTAATATAGGCAAATCACACACACTAATAATCCCATCAGTGGATATTAGTCCTGTGATGACTCAAATGTTTGGAATTTTTTTCCAGGCATTCTGACATAGGAATCTCTGAGTTAGTCACTGGTACTGTGGTTCTGCCCTGAATTGTCTATGTTGTTCCAGCCTCAGTAGGCTGCAAAATGTGCTACCATATGTATATTGTATGTAAAATGCTTCAATAGTTTGTTGGACTTGTGTCCAGTTACCCCAGTCATTGTATCCTGAAAGGGGTGCAGTGCTGAACATTCTTAAGCTCCATTTTCCACATGGAAATCTTAATGTGAAAAGGATGGCTGTATAGCAATTACAAAGTGTCCAGGAGAATTACAAGGGGGTAGAAGTCTAAAAAAAGAAAAGAAAAAGTTAAAGCTGTTCTGTTATTCTGTATATTGCATTAAGTACTGTCTCCTGTAAAGTTCTACAGCGTTCACTAAAGATACTGGAAGAAAATACTATGGAAATTAAATATTTTTGTGGGAACTGTTTAATGTCTGGTTGCCGTGATACCTGGTTTTCATGCCTGGCTTAAGCAAAAAGGTGCATTAAAGGTTTAGCTTTTCTTTAATGTTCTAAAATATCTTGGTTCCAGACTTGCTCTAGTGAACCTGTGTTCTATTAAATGTTTGGAATTGACAACTACTAACACCTCTTCCAGTGCTTTTGTATTCAGTTGTGTGTAGCTTACTGTACTGCTATAGCAGAATCAGAGCTGTTTAGCCTATCAGTCTGATCATGAAACTCACCCTATTAACTTTAAATTGTAATTACAAATGTTCCAAAACAATACATGCTCTATTAGTATCATGTAGCAGTGAACTTGAATCTTTCTGGCTTCCTTGCTGCAGCACACCTCAAATTCTGGTTACAGAGACCTTTCACTCTGGAACACTTGCAACTCAAAAAATCCTGCCCAGTGCTTGTGCACTGAGTGCTGATAGTGATTTCTGGTCCTGCTTGCATCCCGCAACAGGCCAGCTCAGCTCATGCAGTGGTGGAATTTCATCTTGAACTTGCAACTATAACCACTGAAGAGTGTCTCAATGCAGCCAGAAGTCTCTTTGAAACAGAGAATGGGGAAAGCTAGGAGTTAACTGCACTTTCATCAGTTTGTATTTTAAAGTTGCAGCCCAAAACCAATTTGCCTGTTTCCATTTCTGATCTGATGAGTATCAGTACAGAAGCATGGTTGTAATGCACGTGTTGTAAGCCATAAGAATGACATACTACCAAATCAATCATGGAAATAAGATCACTTAAACTTTTGTTTGTCCCTGTGCCAATTCTAGTCATGCTTAGTAATCCTTGAAGCTGTTTTGTGTTGCTTTTTGTTGCTTTGTATTACTTTGTATTTTGTGTATTACTGTAAAATAATGCAGGTGGTCTTTCCTAATTGAAATGCTGCAAGACTGTTTTTGGTTGCTAGCTTCACTCCAAGCATTCCTGAGCTTTGAATCTGTAGATGTTGTTTTGAATGGTACAGAATAGGTCTGGTTTTTGTGGTCTCATTCAGAGGTTACGAAACCAGTAAGAACTGAGGTCAAGCATATTCAGTGACTACAAAGCCTGTTCCTGTTAAAATCAGCAGGGATTGTCCTAGAGACTGAGAACACCATGCAGGACAACTTGTAGAACTGTGTATGACACACCTCTACAGGTTGTTGCAGTATTAAACACATGTGAGACCTGCAATAACCGTGTTTATCCAGTAATCAATTTATTCTGCAAAAACACTTCACAACTGTTACTGCTGTACCTTAAGGCAAAATGAATGTATGCATTTATGGTCTTTTAACAGCTGTTAACATATTGAAGTCAATCCTTGAATATTTGCAATCTTTAAACTTATATTGGTCCTAACTTTTGTGGTGTTAATGTTCCTTCAGACTTCCTTTTCTACATACATTTGAGGTATTCACCCCTGAAGATCAGAAGGTCAATTTAAAGAAACCCAACTCATCACCTTCTAAAAGTTAGGATTCTCATTCTGAGCTTTTTTTTTCTTCTGGCATCTGTGAACATGAACTGGACAGAATGCTGCCTTTAAGGATATGGCTTGGCAACCAGCACTGTGATAAACAGTATCTCTTTTCTTTTGTTAAATACCGCTGTAGTTGTTTCTTCATCCACCAATTCTGGCAGCTCTAGTTGCAATTTGTATTTTCCAGGGACTTCAATCACTATGTCATCCTGAACCAAGAAAATTAAAATACTTGATTAACTATTTGACAGTGAATTAGCAGTGAGTGTTTCTAGGAATTGGATACTAGACAGAAAACATAGGATTGTTATTGCTGCTAGCTTACCTTTGAAATTCTCAGATCACACTCAGAAACAGAGCTAACCTTAGGCAATTCAATTCTGAGTTCAATTTTGAGTGATTTCTTGTTCGCATCCTTTACAGTGATCATTTCATAGGCAGGGGTACTGAGCTTCTCTGGCGTTTCAGTGCTAGCAATTTCCTCTATCAGATGCCCTTCAGGCTGCCTCACATGTTCTTCCTTCAGCAGGACCGAAGCATTGCTGCAGTCCTCAGCTTTCATAGTGTGTAGCATCTCGTCAAGTGTTAGTTCTTTCAAGAAAAGGAAATTTTTCACACATATCACTCAGTTACTGAAGTGTAATGTTATGACACTTGACAAATACATCATGAAAGTTTTATCTGTAACTAATTGGCATTAACAGTTTTGTCAGTTGAAGGCTGTTACTGGCAGTTTTCCTTCGCCCACAATTATGTTATATTGCCAGTGGGTTAAAGTTACTGTTTTCAGACTACTAGTTAACAGCAGCAATCCCTTTTACTCAGGTTAGGGCAGAAGAAACTTGAGCACCTAAAAGGATTAAATGGCAAGAGTTCCCATGTTTAGTGGATATAAAAAAAGGGAATATGCTGTTCCAGTGTCACTATGTTTTCTCAGTTGTAAAACACCAAAGATAAATGCAAATAGGCCAGCAGGGGTAAACTACTGTCTGGTATGAATACTTCTGACTTGGAAGCTTTTGGTTTTTGCTTAAGGCAAGAACTGGGTTACAGATGAGGCTTGAGTAAATTTGTTGGAGAATCTAATAGGTCAAAGAACAGTGACTGCGTTATGTCTGCATACCCTTCTTTGTGTTCTGACTGTGATGTAGAGTTGGCCTCTGCCTTCCTCTCAGACGCTGCTGCATCGTTTCCAGGCTTCCCTTCAGTTTGAATGATTCAATGGTGTACAAATGAGAAAGAGTAAGGTTGCATCGTTCCTCAACAAATTTAAGTGTCAAATGGATCAAGTGCTCCATTTTCTCTGGGTTTTCTTGTCTCCTCTGAAGAACATCTGGGTTATATGCAATATCTATAATGCTGTAAAGGTCTATAAAAGTAAATTATGTGTCAGAATTATTTTGCCAGTGTTCTTTATAGCCACTTGATTTTTTAAGAGCAAAGGAAACTAATTCGTGGCTTCTGGGCAGAGCTGACTCTTTTCAACCTCATCTAGAGAAACACCCCGTGCCAAGAGCTGGCGACGGCACAGCACCACCCCCTGTTACAGCGACAATCTGCGTGTGATCGCCACGCAATGCAGTAGTGCAGGAAGAAATGCATCCGGGGCGAGGCGCAACTCTTGCGGGACATACCTCCTTCGCCAGATACCTCTTGTAGCGGCCCCGCACTGACAGGTGTGGGGTCAGCGGGACCTTTGGGTGCCGGGACCCTTTTCCAGCTGCAGACATTGATGAACAGCGGCCTCCCGACACCACCCTGCAAGAGACCGACCCGCGGCTGAGCGCCGCGCCCCGCAGCACCCGGACGGGAGGCCGCGACCCCGACCCCGCGCACCCACCGCGGGACGCGCCCGCAGGCACAGGTGAGGCTCCGGGAGAGCGCAGAACAGCTCGGCCTCGGCGCGCTGCTGCTGCAGGAGCCGGCGGTAGGCCTGGGGCTCGTTCTCTGCCATCTCGTCCAGCAGCGACCAGAGTTGCGCGGCCCGCGTTAGCGCCGCGGCCGCCATGGCTGCCTCCGGTCGCCTAGCAACGGCAGCCGGAAGGGCGGGCCTCGGCGGGTCCATTGCTTTCCCCGTCCGCCCGCTACTTCCGCGTATTCTGGCCCTGCGGCCGCTCTCGCCCTGAGACCTCCGGCCCCGCGGCGGAGCTGGGGGCTGCCCTCTTACCCCCGGAGCCGCCGCGGGATCGCTGCGCCCCGGGGCCCCGGCGTGTGCTACCAGGAGGAGGCACTGTGCGGGGACCACGTCCGGTCGGGAGCCGAGATCAGGCCCTGCCGCTCCCCGGCTGCGGGGGTGCCCCGGTGAGCGGGCCCGGGGGTGCCGGTGGGGCCGGCGTCTGCGGGGCCGTGTAGGGCGAGAGGATGTCCCGGGTGCCGGTGGGGAAGGTGCTGTTGAGGAACGTCATCCGGCACACGGGCGCGCACAACAAGGTACGGCCGGGGCCGGTGGGGGCTGCAGTCCTCGGCGGCCTCTTGTCCCCCCTCTCTGCGGTGACTCTTCCGCCTGGCTCTGCCCCGTGGCCGCTTCTGTGGCCGGCTTTTGTCCGCGGGTGCGAGTGCAGCCGCCCTGGGCATCACTTGGGGGTTGCTCCGAGGTTCGGGACCGCTGGTACTTCCCCGGTAGTGCGGAGCGGGCAGTGGGGCAGGCGGAATGCCTGGGTTGTGATCGGGAGAGCAGAGAGGAAAGAAACTTGTTGAAATCAGCCGCGTAAGCACCGTTAGTCTCGATTTCAGTTTAATCTGCTTTTGAGTTCTTATCCTGGGAACGTGCATATTTAGATAGACCGATGTGTGTGTATATATATATATATTCACCTATAAAAATTGTGCCATGGAACATATTTTCTCAGGAGTTTAATGAAAACTGTGGTTTGCTTTGCTTTTATAAAAGTAGTAAATCTTTGTTTTTTTCTTGTACTGTGTATGTGTTGTTAATTGCATCAAAGAATTTCAACGTTGTGGTAATGTGCACAGGCAGTATTTTAGTGCCAGATTAAGAAACTCCATTAACTTTAGCAAACTCTCTAATGAATTCTTGACATAATTCAGCAGGTCTAACTCATTTGTTTCGTATGTTTATAAAGTCACTTATTTACTGTCAACGTCCATAAACACAAGTATGTGTTAAACCATGCAGTATCTGCATGCTGTGTTTTATTAGCTTGTCATGTAACTTCTCATTTCATCTTGGTCCTTCCAGATGATGTTTATATACTGCATTCTCTAACAGTATGTATATTTAGGGTGGTAATGAATAACAAGGTAGGGTAGCCAGAACAGATGAAATAGCAAAATCAGGCAAACCCACCATTTCTGATGCAGTTACCCTCATGTGCTTTGTTATATTACTATCAAGAGGTTCTCCTTTTGGTTACAGCTAATAGAAAATAATCTGTTTCAGTATGGTAGGAAAGCTTGCTGTGAATTTTGTTGCAGGAGAGTTGAGCTGATGTTACATGCTACGTGTCTGTAAAGTTTCCCTAATGTTCCTCTGGTTTTCCTTCTGTGACTTTCAGATTCAGGAAGAGACAGAAATGTGGAAAATAAGGGAGTGGGAGAAGCAAACCGAAGAGACTTACTGGAAAAGGCAGAGCAGAATGCTATCAGACACCTCCAGGTGGGTTTTAGTTGTTTAGAGGAGTTAATTGTCTTGACTTAATTGCTAAGTTGCTGAACTCTTGTTTGTTACAACACTTTAGGAGCATTCTGTGATGAATGTGTGTTTATAGTGTATGAAGTCAGAGTACATATACATTTATTTTCTCCTTAATGAGTAAGTGTCCTGGGTTCAGCAGCAGTCATTTTTCTCCTTCTTAGTAGCTGGTGCAGTGCTGTGTTTTCAACTTTAGTCTGAGAACAATGCTGATAACACACCAATGTTTTTCGTTGTTGCTAAGTAATGCTTAATCCGACCAAAGACTTGTTCAGTCTCATGGTCTGCCAAGTGAGGAGGGGCATGGGAAGCCAGGAGGAAGCAGAGGCAGGACACCTGACCCAAACTAGCCAAAAGGGTATTCCATACCACAGCACATCATGCCCAGTATAGAAACTGGGGTGAGTTACCCAGAAGGCCCACATTGCTGCTCTGGTTGAGCTGGGTATCTTGTCAGCAGTAGCTGAGCAATTGTATTGTACATCACTTGTGTTTATTGTTTTCTTTTCCTTCCCCCTTTTAGTTTTATATTCTCTCCCCTTGTTATTTCCCTTATCATCATTATTATTGGTGGTAGCAGTAGTGGTTTTGTATTATACCTTAGTTACTGGACTGTTCTTATCTCAACCCATGGGATTTACATTCTTTCAGTTCTCCTCCCCATCCCTCTGGGAGCTGGGGAGGGGAGAAAAAGAGGGGGAGTGAGCAAGCAGCTGCTTGGTTCTGAGTTAACAGCTGGGCTTAAACCATGACAGTAAGGTTTTGTGCGAGCTGATAGTGGTGACTCTGTTAAAATGATAGCTGGTCTTCTTGCATAGATGGACATTCAAGGCTTGCTGCATTTTTGTTCCTCTCACTGGACTAACCCCTTGTTCAGAAGTTTTCTGCATCATAGCTGACAGCTGAAGAACTGTTCTCTTTCCACAGCAGCCGGATGCGCAGTGATGGCTTTGATGAGGATGGCCACAGGCCTGACTGGAAAACAAAGAATTCACAATTTCTGGACCTAGTTGAAGATGATCTCCTTAGGGCCCGATCCTGGAACAAAAAGCTGTATGAATGTGAAGCCAACATGCCAGACAGGTCTGTGGGAGAATTACATTCTGTGATTATAATTAATTAAAACACCTTTTGGGGGTGATGTACCAAGAAGTTAGTACATTTGTATTTCCAGTACATATTCCTATAAAATAATGCTTGGTTTTATTTTGAGAATAAGTAACATGTACGAACTTACTTAGTGTCACAGGGTAAGTGACACGAGTTGAATTATAGAGTCCCTAAGTCACAGTTAGCAGCAAAAGCTCAGCCTTAAGCTTAGCAGCTAAGCTTAGTATTTATTACTTTGCCCAAAGAACTTAAAAAGTTAGTGCTGTCCAGGGTTATTTTAAAGAAACTTGGATTGAAATTATTCCTGATTAGAAATGGAAAGGAGGCTGAGAACATTGGGTATATTTAAATAGTATAAACTAAATCAGTTATATTTCCTTCCTTTTTTTTGGTTGGGAAGGTTCTGATGGCCCTTCTTTGCTGTTGAAACTCATGTTCATTCTGTGGCTCTGTCGTTTCAGTTATATTTTTTTCCTTAAATACCTTATCAGTTTCTAATACCTGGTTCTGCTTTCTTACAGATGGGGTCACAGTGGCTATAAAGAGTTATATCCTGAAGAATTCGATACGGATAGGTAAGGCAACTAGATGTACTAACGTGTCTGAAATCTTGCTCTGTCAGGTTATGCAAGAAATTTGTTAAACTGAATTTTAAGTTCTCAGTATGGATCAGCCTTGACTGTAAGGCAACATTGTTTATTTACAGATACCTGCTGAAAATAATCTAGTCCATTAATGTGGTCCCCCCTTGACTGAGTCTTAGGAGGGATTTGCATCTTTTATAGTAATTAGACTTGCAGCTTGAGCTCGAGTTACTAAAATGCTGTGAATCTGGAAGGTCTGTCTGGGCCAACAGGGAGCCAGAGTAGTAGGCTTAATCCTAATCAGCTCAGTATATTCCCTCTCAAAACGCTCCAGGTTCCCCTTTCCCCTTGTAATGTACCTGTATTTTCTGTGTTTCTCCTTACTTGAAGAATATAAAATCTTTGAGGAATATAAAATCTTTGAAGAATATAAAATATAAAAACAGCATCCTGAGGAGTGGAGACTTTAACTGTAAAATAAGATCTAAATACATCAGAATTAATTATTTTTAAACTATATTTAGCAGAATCATCACATACAATATTTGTCAGGCTTACAGATTTGAACTAACCTGCTGTAAATAAGCTTTCATCACTCAGTGGCTTTCAGTACATACTCTCCTTGGTTGTGGCTCATATACCTTAAACAGAGGTATTAATAAGGTGTGAACCCAAGCTGTTACTGAGTACTTGAAACAAAAGTGCAGCTACCTTGTCTGTCAAAGCATCTGTTTTCCTGCCCTTGCCAAATGATGGGCTTGCTTAAAGCCTTGAGACAGAAGAGGCTTAATTGCTGTGTGGCTGCCTCTCTGCTTCCTTTTGACGATCCTGTGCTCTTTCTACAGTGACCAGCAAGAAGGAGATGACCAAAGTGCTATCAATGGTAAGAAGAAATCTCATCTAGAAAAGCAAACTGCCCGGGAATCGCACAAACGGAAAAAAACAAAGAAATCGCACAAGAAGAAGCAAAAAAAGCGATCACACAAAAAGCGAAAGAAAAAGAAAAAGGAGCAGGGGAGAACATCATCAGATTCTTCCCAGGAGAGCGAGTGCTCAGAAGAGGAGACTTCAAGCACTCGAAAAGGGAAACACAAGCGCAAGAAAAAGACCAGGAAAGTGCCTGCCAGGGAACCTACCTCCTCTTCTGGGCAGGAAAGTGACTTTTCTCATGCAAGCAGCTCAACCACCAGCAGCTCTGAGGACAGTGAATCTGAGGAGAAAAAAGAGAAACGGCCCCCCAAAAAGAGAAAGAAACGTCACAATTCTGTTTCAGAGAGGCACAGTGAAGTACCGGAGAAGAGGAGCAAGAGGAAGAACTGGAAAGTGGCTGCTGATGAAAAATCAGAGGATAGCTCAGATGAGGACTGATGAGTCTAGGCTGCAGATCAAACAATAAGGTAGAGGACAGAGGCAGGTATTTGTCTTTCAGCACTGCCCCATGGTACAAGTCGTTTCAACACTGTGGTTTATATACATCCTGCCAGCCCACGGGGGAGAAAATGAGCCTTGGCAGCCTGCAGTAGGTGCCCCCTTGCTTTTCATTAACTTGACATTCAGAAAACCAGGGGAGCAGTTGTGTGCCTAACGGGTTGGCTAGTCCTGACAACTTTGGATTCTTTTTGTGTGACCTCTGATGCAAGAAAATGTTACAGGCTGTCTGCAGGGGAAAAAGGGGCATGTTTGCACCAAGGTCTTTTTGTGTTTTTTTTTC